TAATAAACGAAGGTTGATGAGAACTGAAATTTTACAAACCAGAATTTACGCCAAACGAATACGAAATGCTACGATACGAATGATTTAAATACCATATATTTTGGTGTTAATAGCCATAAATTATTTTATTAGAAATGTCCTTACCATGCAAATATGTTTTGTTACCGGAATCTCTTCTTCAGTGCAAGAACTATTCGTCAGAGGACCTATTCAACTTTATTTATAAAAAGCAACTATAAAAATTAACAATTGGAGCATCTACTTTATTCAAATCGCTTATATCGTTTAAATTCAATCATTTAAATCATCCCCCCCATTATATATCATTCAAATAATTTAAATCCTTAAAATTATCAATTATATAGTTCTGAGGAATAGTCTGGTAAAATTATAATGATTCCTCAGAGTATGGTAAGAAAACTATTTTTCTGTATAATTTACCTTTTATTATGTTACTTATAAATGTGTTATAATAAGAACTGCAGTATTGAAAACCAGAATTTCTGATAAACAAATATAAATATAAAACAAATAAACAAATATAAAACAAATAAACAAATATAAATATGAAACAAATAAACAAATATAAATATAAAACAAATAAACAAATAATAATAACTGATAATATNACTTGTACTATCTGTCTTTTAAATTGTCAAGGGTTTTCTTACCGTTTTTAGTATTGAGCAACAAAACCCGCATATTTATGTGAGTAAACAGATAAATTTCTCGTCCCACATAAGATATGTACAAAACAGACGCCTTAGTTTGATCTATCCGAGTTTAGTATCTTTAAATCACTTTAATTCCACATTTGAAAGCATAGTTTATGGCTCTTTTCCCTCTGTTATGAATTAGAAATATATAAGAAAAACAAATAATTAACTACCATCTAATTCCTATCAGCCATTTTAATGAATCATCGTTTTAATTAAACCATGGCAAAGTAAACAGACTACATGATGTACCACCATTCTATATGGTATATAACATAGCCATTGAATCCCTTAAAAATTATTAAATAAATGGTTCTGAAAAATATTCTGGTTATTTTTATCATGATTCCTCTGAACATGGCATGAAAACTATTTTTCTGTTAAATTTACATTTTAGTGTCCTATTGCTAATAAACGAAGGTTGACGAGAACTGAAATTTTACAAACCGGAATTTCCGCCAAGCGAATGCGAAATGCTACTATACGAATGATTTAAAAACCATATATTTTGGTGTTAATAATTATGAATTTTTTTTATCAGAATTTACCTTACCATACAAATATGTTTTTTTAACCGGAATCTTTTCCTCAGTGCATTCGTCAGAGGACCTATTCAACTTTATTTAGTTTAATCTATAAAAATTACAAATGGAGCATCTACTTTATTCAAATCGCTTATATATCATTTAAATTCCATCATTTAAATCATCCCCCACTATATATCATTCAAATAATTCAAATCCTTAAAATTATCAATTAAATGGTTCTGAGGAATAGTCGGGCAAAATTATAATGATTCCTCAGAGTATGGTAAGAAAGCTATTTTTCTGTAAAATTTACTCTTTATTATCATGTTACTAATAAATGTGTTATAATAAGAACTGTAGTATCGCAAACCTGAATATCTGATAAACAAATATCAAAAGTTGCCAAATGAATAATTTAAATGCTATAAATCATGGGTAAATTACCTGATTCTCTCTCTTTTTTTTAATCCAAAATTTCTTTACCATAAAAATATGTTTTTTTGTTTCTTACCAGAATATTTTTTCTCAGTACATGAACTATCCAACAGTGGGCTTATTTTCATTTCATTTTTTTATTTAATTTAGTTCAATCTGTAAAAATTAATAATTGGACACATCTACTTTATTCAAGTCCTTTTTATATGATTTAAATCATCCATTATATATCATTCAAAACATTTAAATCCTTAAAATTACCAAATAAATGATTCTGGGGAATAGTCTGGTAAAATTATAATGATTCTTCAGAGTATGGCATGAAAAATATTTTTCTGTGAAATTTACTTTTTACTGTCGTGTTAGTAATGACTGTTTAGTAATAAGAACTGTAATATTGAAAACTAGAATTTTCGCCAAATGAATGCCAAAATTTTCTAAATGAATGATTTAAATAGCTTAAATTCTTGTGTTAATTACCAGAATTCTCTTTTTTTTTATCAAAAATGTCTTTACCATACAAATATGTTTTTTTTACCATAATTTTCTTTCTCGGTGAATGAACTATTCGTCAGTGAGCCTATTTTTATTTCGTATTTCAACTTAATTTAGTTTAATCTGTAAAAATTAACAATTGGAAACATCTACTTTACTCAAATCATTTATATATCATTTAAATCCTGTCATTTAAATCATCCATTACATATCATCCAAATCATTTAAATCCTTAAAATTACCAAATAAATGTTTCTGAGGTAAACTGGTAAAATTATAATGATTCCTCAAAGTGTGGCATGAAAACTATTATCTGTAAAATTTACTTTTTATTGTCGTGTTACTAATGAAAGTGTTGTAACAAGAACTGTAATATTAAGAGTCAGAAATTTAGTTAAATGAATGCCAAAAGTTTCTAAATGAATGATTTAAATACCTTAAATTTTGATTTTAATTACCAGAATTCTCTTTTTTTTTATCAGAAATATCTTTAACATAAAAATATGTTTGTTTTTTTACCTGAATTTTTTTCTCAGTATATGAACTATTAGTCAGTGGGCCTATTTTTATTTCGTATTTTAACTTTATTTAATGAAAATTAACAATTGGAAAAATTAACATTATTCAAATCATTTATATAAAATGTGTATAATCCTATGCTAGCTTAGTGCATTTATATACTCGCCCCAAAAAAAGTTCTAAATGATTCAACCTGTTGCTTTACTGGAAAACAGGACAACGAGGTTTTCCATTGATTCATCGTCCAATCAACAATCGCTTCCTATTTTCAGAAGTAGACCAAAAAACCAAAATGATAAATTGTAATCGGCATAAACGGTCCATCCAAATGTGCTTTTGCCCATTAAATAAGTGGATGGGCCCCACCCTACCACTCACAACTCCCAAAACTGTTACTGCTGGTTGCCGCGGTAACAGTACTATCTCGAAACTCGGTTTTAACCAACAGTTTACACTTTAATGTTATTTCTCATAACAACAGGATCACATTCCTCTAATATCCTCATCGTATAGTGGTCGTAACAGTTTCGCAGCAGTGTATTAGAGAATAAGTCGCGCCTTAAAATTAGAGAATATGTTGATTACAAAATAATTTGATAATATTAATAAAATATTTTCAATAATGTTATTTTAAAGTGCTTGAATTTACTTAAAGAACTTAAGCGCTAAAAGGATTTTAAAATAGTCTGTTTCATTTGTTTAAAGGTAAGGATTGAAAAGATTTTTCTTTATTTATTTTATCTACAATTATTTTTTTATTATTTTGTATTGAATGTGCTTGATTTTCAGATTGAAATATCTAGAAGATAACAATAAAATTAGGTAATGATTATAATTAATACATATATTAGTTATAATCATTAATATATACCAAAAATAAATAACCAAATTTATTAATGACCAAATTATGCTATATATAATTATAAAATAATATATTATAAGTAACCAAATATATGCCAAATTTATGCTCTTTAATAACCAAATAACCAAAATATAAAATAACGAAATTTATGCTCTAATCAGCAATATATAAAAGTTCAATATTCGCATATTGCTCAATATTATATCTCAATGCAACAGGATTATGTATCTTCGAATATTGTTCTCGTGTAATACTCATAATAGTTTCACGGATTTCGAGGAACTGGATTAGAAAATTAGTCAAACCTGTGAATTAGAAACTGTGTGACTTTTAAAATAATTTGATCACAAATAGATTTTTATAAATAATCTTAAAGAGCTTGAACCTGATACATTTTAACAGCAAAGATCGCAAAGATTTTCTTCCATGATTTTTTTACATTTAATATATTTAATTTAAATTAACAAAGGTGATATATAACAGTATGACATGAGATATGTATCTTCGAATATTGTTATCGAGTAATACTCGTAATAATTTCACGGATTTCGAAGAACTGGATTAAAAAATTAGTCAAATCCATGAATTAGAAACTGTGTGAATTTTAAAAGAATTTGATCATTAAATAGATTTTTATAAATAATTTTAGAGAGCTTAAACCTTTTACGTTTTAATAGTAAAGATTGAAAAGATTTTCTTCCATTATTTTTTTGCATTTAATGAATTTAGATGAAATTAAAAAAGGTGATGCATAACAATATGACGAGAGATATTAATTTTAAGCATATAAGATTACACTGTATCATTATAAAGCATTTACATTATTCGTAGATAGTCTAATGAATAATTATAACTATTTTTGAATAATCATAACTATTGGATAATTAAATAATCTAGCATTGGATGATGCAATTTAAGAAAGTGAGTTGATTCTGAAAAAGAGAATATGTATACATAAAAGATGAAAAATATTCACAATCCCCTGAGAGAAATTATAATTGCTTGAAAGCAAAATATTAAATTATTTACATATTTTTAAAATGAATTTGAGTAATGATAAAAATTTGTAACAGTTTTTGTATCGAACGTATTTTATTATACCACATATATAAATAAAAACCTCATTAAAAAGTTATAATTAAATTTACATAGTTTTTTTTAATGATTTGATCATCGTTCAATTTATATCAAGCTTTTTTTTTTTTTTTTGCATGTTCAAATTGCTACACGAAGTAGCAATTTTTTTAGTTATCTAACTATGTACACAATTAGATTATTAATATTCATAATTTGCATAATTTTAATTATTAATATACACAATTTAATTATTGATATACACAATTTAATTATTGATATACACAATTTGCATAGTTATCTAATACTTTTACATTGTAAGTATTTAAGCTTTTTTTAATATTTTTTATAATAATTTAACACTTATTGCAGGTATGCTGGTTATGTACCAGGGCTAAAGTATACCTTTGGTCACACCTATGGATATGATGAAAGTCGGTTGTTTGTAAGTATTTTTATATACAATGAAACCTCTAGGTAAGACCACCTCTGTATAGCGATCTCTTATATTGATAACCACTTTTGGGAGGCCCTGAATTTTTTCCTTCTATTGAGGAAAAACTTTAGAAGAGACCATCAAGACCTCTCCCAGCGACCGGAAAACTTCCGCACCAAATGCGAAAAGTCAAATAGGTTAACACGAAAAAATATTAGTTAAGCAAATAAGTAGATTCAAATGCATTCAAAATATTTGTGAGTGGCTATTATTTAGAGAGCTGTTTTCGACGGTCGCTGAAAAAGATTGTCAACCTTTATTTGCAGCACAGAGTGCACAATGCAATCAATGATTTAGCCTTAGAGGTATAAGTTAAATTATTGGGAGTACAAATTAGTTCGGTCCGTTTTCAGAAGATGGCTCTGGCTGCTATGAATGTTTCATAGTGACAGCTGGTTTCAGTGGTTTCAGAAAGGTTAGACATCTGGTAATAATATTCAGTTTATATTGCTTTGAGTTTCATACAAAATCCCTGTTTTTTACTTTGTTGAATATGTCAAATTTTGTGGTAACAAAGCACCATTTGCGGGAGGTTTTGTGCTTCTGCTTTAATTGCAAGAAAGGTGCAGCTGAAGCGCATCGAATACTTGTAAAAGTTTATGCTGACAATGCTCCAACTGATAAATCATGTAGGGAATGGTTTCGACGTTCCGAGAATGGTGAATGAGGAATGGTGAATGGTGTTGTATACTATCAGCTGCTACAACTTTGAGATTCCATTACAGGCTATCGGTATAGGCTACAGTTGATTCGTTTGAGCCGTGCATTACGAGAAACAACGGCCGGAATACGAGCAAAGACATGACAAAGTTATTCTTCTGCATGATAACGGTCGGCCACATGTCGCAAAAGTCGTAAAAAATTATTTGGAAGCGCTCAAGTGGGATATTTTACCGCACCCGCGTATTCGCCGGACATAGCTCCATCTGATTACTGGTTGTTTCGACGGATGCAGCATGATTTGTCAGGTTACCGGTTCACTTCTTTCGCAGAAATCGAAAATTGGCTCCTAACTTGGATCGCCTCAAAAGACGAGACACTTTTTCGAGATGAAATTCGAAAATTGCCTGAGAGGTGGGAAAAAGTAGTAGCCAGATATGAACAATACTTTGATTAATCTGTTCATTCGTTTTGTTCAAAAATAAATGCATTTTTGATCACAAAAAAAAACGGATGGAACTAATTTGTACTCCCTATAGAAAAAGAGTTAGTTAAAAACAAACTAAACATCTCAAACAAACAAAACTCTCATTTGTGGAAGTAAACAAATTCTTATTATTTAAAACTAAATGCAAAGCTAAACAAAAAACATAATTATTTATTTATTTAAAATACTAGTTCCATTCATAATTGGTCAATTTGTTTTTACACATAATTACATCAATAGGGGTCATTTTTATTTAGTCTAAATTTTATTCATCTATCCCATTTTTATGATCTCAACACAAATGACATTTCAGCCCCATAAAATAACACTGAGTAAAACTAAAATCAATTGCCAAAAAAAAAAATCGTGTACCTTTAATAGCATTATGAAATCAATGGAGGTAATTTCTCAGAACAACCAACCTCCATTAAAGACCATTTTACTGTGGAGCAGAGAGTGGTCGCTAACGAGAGGTTTCACTGTACGTATGTTTTATATCCTATATAGAATTATTAACAATGTTAACATATATATGTTAGTGAAAACTTACAACTGTCATAGAATAAATTGGAAAGAAAACATAAAATGTACGTTATATATCAATGATACTTCAATTATTTAAGTTTGATTTCAAGAAGCATAAAATTTATGACTTTTATTTGGTTTAAATATGTGTGGTTCTTATATAGAATCATATACATCAGTTTTATACAGAAGAGTAACTGTAGAAAGGATTTTATTTTTAAAAAGTATAATATTTCAATTTTATTTTAAAGCAACTACATCATTTATGAAAAAAGAACAACAATTTGATGTTAACTGGTGAATTTTGCTTTCATTTATCGTGCCTGTAATACGTTGTAAAGCATTTGGGTTACCACAGATGTGATGAGATTTTTTTAACTGATTTAAAAACTAAATAAAAGAAAAAGTTGAAAAGAACTTTGGTGCTAGATGCTATATGACCTAATCTGTACTCCATGGGTTCAAATCTGTTATTCATACCTACTACAATCCTTTCCTAACTATGGTAGAGTTACTATTATTAAATAAACGGAACTTAAAAAAAAGAATTCATAGATTTTTAGAAAAAAATCATTCAAATGCAGAAATCTTAAAAACTTTTTTTTCTGCTAATAAAAACTGATTACAAAAACCATACAAATTTAAATTTCTAAATTATTACAAAATTAAGAAATGTTTTTTTTTCATTATGTATAAACTATTTATGCTGAGGAATTTGAGGAATAGTAATGAGTTTGTGGTAATATAAATTCAAATCTATTTAATAGTAAATACATAGAAAAAAGAATTATAAATCTTTAAAACATTAAAATATTTCATGTATCGAAGATAAATTTTTGTCAGCAATAGCTGAAATAACATTTTTGGGACGAAATTTATTTTATTATTACTTTTGTTTCAACTTGATTATTCTTTTATCGTAAATTAATTAATTTAAAATATGTTTCTATATGCAATACTTTTGTAACTACCCTCGAAAATACCATTTACTATTTTATACCACAATAATTTTTCTATGAATTATGTCAGACCCGCCAACTATTAAACCTTTTTTCCATCAAATATTTTAAATGATAAAAAGTTTCATGATCTAACTCGTGTATCTAACTCATGTATAAAATTATTCCAGCAATAAACTTCCGTAAACAACTTCAATTAAAAAATAAAAAAAACTCAATTTTTTTACAGAAATCTTCACATCCAGATTTCAGCTCAGAATTTGCAACTCAAAAGTTGATTCCCTATCAACCAGCTAATCGAAGAGATTCATCTACCACACGTGTCACACAAGATGCATGTCTTCAAAGAAATGGCGTTCACCAGAAAATATCAAAGATTGATGACCTTCAACAACAAAGGCGTGTTCAATGGACGGATGGCAGGTCTGAACAAGCTTCGAAACAAGGTTCTATGGATATTATAAATGCAGATGAATCTTTCATGCAGAAACATGCAGCCATCCAGTGCAGTCTTGAAGAGTTTTTGGAGAAAGAACAAGAGAGAGAAGGGATACGAAGTGCTGCAACCCAATGGAGCGACCAAGAAGCCCACAGGAAAAAGAAATATAGTGCTGCAACTCAGTGGACGCCTGTTGATTTTTCTCCTCTAAAAACAATTCCGGGATATACTGGTAAGACAAGCATGATCTATATTTACCTATATTTACCAAAAACCTAGACAACTTTGCTAGGTTTTAGAAAGGTGATGTTATGACATGTTTTTAAGAGGATTCTAGGACGTAAGAAAAACCCTCCATATCAAATTTTCTTTCCCCATCGCAACCCAGAAAGCATGTAACTTTACGACAACCTTGTGTCTGAAATGCTTAAACTAAAAACCTTTTTTCAATAAAGTAAAAATATTGCAATTTCAAACCTTTCATCCTAAAAGGATTAAAAATTATTTTTAAAGCTTTTTTAAAAAGTATTGTCACTTAAGTGAAATGGTCATTTAGGTCCATGATGACGTTTTATCTGATGTCACACTAGCAATAGGATCAAATTGCATTGTCCATTAAAATTTAATGACAAGGTGGATTTTCGATGAGCATATAAGATGTTGCTATAAGAAACCTTATAATTACCTAAAGTTAAAATTATTTTCACCTTAAGACTAGCTTTATTCAAGGATTTTTCACGCTAAGACAACCTCAATTTAAGGTTTTTACATAGAAGGTTGTTTTCCCAGGTTTTGGATTAGGGTAATGTGAGTAGAATAGAGCAGATTGTCACAGATCTCGTTTTAAGGTTAGAAGGTTTACACGTAAACCGCATAAAAACCTTTTTTAGGTTTACTAAAAGGTTTTTGCTAAGGTAAAATAAACCTTATTTTGCTATCTGGGAAGTAATTTAAAATTTGATTTTTTGGAAAAAGGAGTTCCAGTAAACTTAGAGTAAACCATAAAGTTTCAAAAACTAGTATTTTTGTTTTGTTTTGAATATATCAAAATATAAACGAATTATGGCTGAATTATTTGGTAGTGAGGAAGTTACCTTGCAATAATTTGTTTGCATTTTGAAAACATTTTTTTTTTCAGCATTTGAATGTTCATGGTTTATTCTAGGTTTAACTGACTCGATTTGTTTCTGAACTTTAAATTTTAAAACGAAAATGGAGGTGAAACAGAATTTTCAATGAAAAGTGTCTTCCGTGATTTAGGGACCTCTTGAACCACCAAACAATAATTGCTTTCTATTTAAGGCAATGATTATAATGATGAATAGTTTATACCACTATTTCTGTTAAGTTCGACTCTTCAGTTGTTCTAGAATTAAATAGACATGGTAATTTTAAAACTGTAACATATTCTACCGCATCAAAATTTTCTTGTCTAGACTAGTTCAGTTTCGCCTAAGATTTATTTAGTTACATTTAGATAGGTTCCAGCCGTGATTTCTCTGTGGTTAAGGCACTGAACTGTCACTGTGAAGAACTGAGGTTCGATCCCCACTGATGGCATGAAGAACACCTAGTTTCAACTCGATGGGTACCAGCTTGTCTGGGAAGTATGGGCGTCACTGTGCGCAGTGCTGACCACGTTTTCATAATCATGCCGTAAGTCACGAAATTTTGGGGCCTTAACCATTATGACCCCCTGGCCAACAACGGGCTGTCGTGGGAATGCTTTGTTAGATAGATTTAATTAATCCTAGACTGATTCAATTCCGACTAGTTTAGTTACACCTCAAACAATAAGAGGATATTCAGTTACTCGACTTAATTGGTGAAAAAGGAGATTTTCAGAAACCAAAAGTTAAAAACCAGTCTCAGAACAAAATTTCTATTCACCATTGTTACCTCTTGTATGTTTAGTATAGAAACTTGTCACATCATTATGTATGCAAATCAAACATTATTATTACGATTTAGTTTTTTTTAAAAGCTATAAAATTTGTTTTGTGAAGCAAAGTTATTTTAATTCGCACCACGTTCAAAATGAATTAACTTTCAATTCTTAAATTCAATACAAGCAAACATTATAACTGAAAGTATAAAACTATTACTACTTAAAAAGAGCTTACTATGCTTTCAGATAATTAAACTGGTTTTCTTTAATTGCTGATATATACAATAACTGTATAACACCTATGCTGTGATTCAATACTTACCTAATTATTATATAATATAGTATATAAGACGTCTTACATACTCTCTTAACTTTTGAATGGTGTTAGCTTTGGTTCAAAAAGTGATGTTTAGATGCAGTAAAGTGGCTATGTATTTCAAAATAGGAACAACTACAGCGTCACTTGGAGTAAAACTGTGGAGTACTACCTCCACATGTCATGTGTCAAATATTATTATGTCAAACAGAGAGCAGGAAGTGAAAAGTTAATTGCTAAACTGTTGATATTATTACATTCGGCGTCGATTTAGTGTGAATGAACAACTTGGGTCTATTTAAAATTTCTTTTAAACTTTGTACATCGAAACTAGCTCTTTTTTTCTTTAATGACTAACAGTAATTTTCTTTGATAACTGAAATTACTGGTTCCCTTTATTTCCTAAAATTGCGTTGTCACGTCACAGTATAGAAAATTGCGAGTAAACAATTGTACGTTTTAAGCGTTCTTTTTTTTTAAACATCAATGTCCACTAGAATATCCAGTACTAATTTTAAACTATGTCTATTGTTATTCACTATTGGAAAATTGGTTTCAGCTGTAGTTGTAAAAGTGGTGCTTAGGTGTAGTAAAGTGGCGATGCATTTCACAATTACACCAGTTACAGCGCCACTTGGTGCTAAACTGCAGAATTATAGCTTTCACAGCTCAAAAAGGAGAGTATAAGGAGAAAAGTTAATTGAAGTTTAAGATATTCTTCAAATCAATTAGTAGCGTCAATTTAGTACGAATAAGCACCTTGTGGTTCGTTTTAAAACTTCTCCTAAACTTTGTACATAGAAACTAATTCTTTTTTTTTTCCTTAATGACTAGTAGTGATTTTCTTTGATAAGCGAAATTATCAATTCCCTATTCTTTTTACAGCTACTTTTTACTGCTTTCACTGTTCAAAAGAGAGTAGAAGGATAAAAGTTAATTGAAGCTTAAGATATTCTTCAAATCAATTGGTAGCGTCAATTTAGTACGAATAAGCATCTTGTGGTTCTTTTTAAAACTTCTCTTGAACTTTGCATTTAGAAACTAGTTCTTTTTTTTCTTTAATGACTAGTGGTGATTTTCTTTGATAGCCGAAATTACCATTTCCCTATTCCTTCGAAAATTGTGACGTCACATCACAGTGTAGGAAATCGAGAATAAGCAACTGTACATTTTAAGCCTTTCTTTTTTTTCTTAACAATTATGTCCACTTGAATGTCAAGCATTAATTTTATACTATGCCTTTTCGTAATAAATCAATAATACTATAAAATTTTGTTATTCACTATTTCTCACTATCTAGTATTGCTTCCGAGATCGACACACTGTTTTCTCCCTGGTGGCACAGTAAAGAGGTATCATCTTGAAACACGTAACCATTTTACAATACCTAGACACTACTTTTATATTTTCAGATTCATCAAAATTAAAAGGATGCTTATGGAACGTATAATGTCGTGACATTATACACATTCAATTCCCTAGCAATAATCTTTGTTGCATTAAACCTATTTTTTCTATTTTTACAGAGCAGAAATATAAAATTTGTGTCTCATATTCGAGTATCTTGTCAAAATTATACTTATTTTTGTCAGACGAGGTGTTCAAAAATAAATTAAAATACTAGTAATATTTCTAGGTATCTTTTAATTGGGTAAAATATCGTTTGTTTGTCACTTTTACAGAGATTTTATCACTAATTGCTCTTTCTTGAATTTTAATGTATACAATAAACAAAACTCTAACGAAACTAGACAAAAAAAAGATTATAAAGCATTTAACATAAACAATAATTTAAAGTGAATGTATGAAATGTAATTTTTGACTAAAATAATAAATTATTCAAAAATAATGAAAAATTAGCATAACACTTTGGTAGACGATGTAACAGTACAATTTTAAAATTAAAATAAAGTATATTGAATATTTTTTGCGGCGTTAAAATTTATTTTTTATTTCTAACCTTCGTGAAAAAATATTATTTTGTAAGTTGCAATAGTAAATTTGCGTGACTATTGCTAGAAAATTGATAATTCTACACAAAAATAGCACTATTTTTATCTGTTTGGAATAATATATACTTAACTACCCTAAATAGAGGGGTCATCTATATAAAATACAGTCTTTATTTTCACTGAGTTTGCTTTTTATGCAAGTTGGGAAAAAAATATCTAATAATAAATAAAAAAAATTGAATTAATTTTTAAAAACACTTATTAACCAAGTGTTAACTAAATAATAATTATGGTTCACAAATAATAAATTTTTATCTATCTTGTATGTGTTATTTTAATTTTAAATACTAAATATAGAGTGAACAAAAATTATGTTTTCAAATTTTTTATGCGAATAATGCCTAATACACATTGTTCCATAGTCATTACCCTTTGTACATATTTTTAGAATCTTTATCAGATTTGGAGTAAAAAAGTTATAAAGTACACGAAGAAAAATTCTTGTAAAAATACCGTACTATATAGTAAGGACACTTCTGGTAACAATAATAATAATAATAATAAACATGTTGTTGTTGTTGTCCTTTAGGACAAGGGGTGTGATTGCTCTTGCTTTGCAGTGGCACCATCTATGGTTAAGAATTCGACTTCTTCCACACCCATACGTCACACCCGTTTATCGGGTGGACCCATTCATACATTCATTCATCCACAGATCGTAATTTTAATCTGAACCAAGTAACGATCAATCTCCAATTCAGTACCCCTGAGGTATAATTTGTTATGGGAACATAGAGGACATTGTGACAGGACAGATTCAACATGCACCAGTCATAATTTACTATACGGGGAGAATTCTGCCGTCTAGATTCGAACTCCCGCTCTCACAAATGTGAGCTCAGCGCCCTACAAACCAGGCTTACCCGGCATCAATAATAAACATAATTCTGGTTAATAAAACGAAATTATACGGTTTTTAAACCATTTATTTACTGATTTTTCAGTTCATATAGCTTTTTCGTTGGTTTTATATAGTTTTCAAAATTCTAGTTTTTATTACGACACATTTAGTAAAA